GAGCAGGGTGGCAGCCGAGCAATGACTCTCTCTCACTGATGTCTCTCTCCCCCTCCCTTCCCCTCTGAAATCAATAAACATACATTTTTTAAAAAAGAACTGCCAGGTCCCTGCAGCCCGTGTGCCCCTCACCAGTCACTCGCCCCCTGCTCCCCCGTTCAGCTCCACCCGAGACGGCACGGGCACCCCAAAATGAATGGAGCACTCTCTGCCCAGAAGGGGACTCCTAGTTGGACGGACACAGCGTGTACTAACCCGACCTCCAAGAAAATGCAGCACCTACCCAGGGCCTGGGCAGGTCTCCCTAGGGGACGCACTCCAATCGGGGCGCCCCCTCTCTTTCGGGGGGGCCGCAGGGTAACCCCTCCTTCACGAGGAGATCATGTTGCTCCTAACCGGCTGTTCACGCTCTGCGTCTGCCTGTAGTTGTGCAATCCCGGTGTTCCTTTCTCCCACTTATTTATTCTCTAAGATAAACCCAGCGTGAGCGGCGCACAGCCTGCCTCCCGGGCCTGCACCCTCAGCCAGGGTGAAGGGCAAGTGCTAACGGGGTGGATGTGAGCGGACATTCGCTGGACACTCTCTAAAGCTCTCGGTCTTCACCAGACCCTCGGCAGGCGGTCATGAGGGGTCTAACCCGGACACCAGGCCCCGAGAGGCGAGCAGACACCTCCTGGCCGTGGAGTTCCCGCCTGGGGCCCAGGAAGCGAAGTGCAGGGCACAGCGACCTGGGTGCCCCCTGGGCTCCGCTCTCGGCACTTCCCTGAGGACCGCAGCCCCCTCTCCAGCCTCAGACTCAGGTAACAACCCTCCACTCGGGCGGGGCCAGCGCCGGCCTGAAGGTGACAGAAGCATCTAGAATTCTTGCTGGACAGGATGTTCTCAGCAAACCCTCATGCTCCTCGTCTTTCCCTCGGGGCCGTGAGGAGAGTTCAAGAGCGGCAACCACTCCACGCAAAGCGCCCCAGCCCCAGCCCCGGCCCGAGGCTCCAGCCCTGCGCTGGCTCCC